TCAGAGGTTCACTCAGTGGGACAGTGGCCGCCAAAGTTGGGTGACTCCCAAAGCCTGAGCGTCCTTGGAAACTGAAAAAATATATTTTTTTATACATGTATATTTTTTTTCTTTTTGTGCCTTTGACCAACTTGGGTTTTTTTGTTTTTTATTTGTTTGTTTGTTTTTGTTTGTTTGTGGTTTTTGAAACAGTGAAATCTACATTGAAATGTGTTTTTGAATGGGCTTAAAAATAGAAGGTGTCCGGATAAAAAGGAGAAATAAACTGGCCAACTGGCGGACAAATTTAATGACAGTTCCTCAGATTTTCGGTGGGTGGTTGGCGGGTGCTCTGGTGTGGTTTGCTTCTTCTTTCCTATCAAACATCTGTCGTCCTTATCTCCCCTTTTTCTTTTTTATGTTTGTTACTCTCTTGTAACGCCTCTAATCTTCTGGCGCTCATATGACCTTATGCAGTTGTGAGCGCCGTAAAACCTCTACTAAAACTAAATCAGATTTTCGTGAAGTTTGACGAGCTCCTGATTTCCCCACGATGCTGCCCATAATTTGTTTCATCTTCCCCCCAAAAAAATCAACATCTTCTTCACCTAAAGAGAAAGGGAAGGGAACTGGCCGTCCCATTTGCCTGTAACAAATATCACAGGCATCGATTTTAAGGGCTTTGCCCGATCATGTGACGGATTGAAGTCGGACTAAGTCGTATCGTATTGTATCATATCGTATCGTGCTGTCATTCAACGCTGATGGTGAGTGGGTGAACACCACACGTCTGTGAGGAGATAAAATGGTGGTTGGAGGGTGGGTAGGACGGCACGCTTTGTTTGATCTAGGTTTTACGGCACTTGCAACACACTTCAGGTTATGTGAGTGCCGAAGATTAGAGTTACAAAGAGAGTTCTAACCATAAGACTGTCTGTCCCCGTGGTTTTATGCACCCCGCATAATTTAGCAAAAATTTGATCGTTTTTTTTTTCTCCATAATTTCTGTGGGTTTTTTTTTCCTTTATCATTCTTTGTTAAAGTTAACAGAATCGCATAATTTCACATAAATTTTTGGCTCAGGTTGCATAATTTCAGAATTTTTCTTGCATAAAACGACGGGGACAGATACGATAGGAAGGTGGGTTATAACAGAGGAGAGTGAATGAGAGATAGAAGAAGCGAAGCACAGCAGAGCAAAGAGACCACATGACCCCCCCCCCACTCCCGGTGCTGTTGTTGACTTGCGTACCACAACAAAACTTCCCATAGAATATATACAGCAGTGTATACTGGGATTGTTTGGGGGGTCTTTCTTTCTTTCTTTCTTTCTTTCATTCTTTCTTTGTCTTTCTTTCTTTCTTTCTTTCGTTCTTTCTTTCTTTCTTTCTTTCTTTCTTTCTTTCTTTCTTTGTCTGTCTTTCTTTCTTTCTCTCTTTCTCTCTTTCTTTCTTTCTGTTGCTATTGTTGATGTTATTGTTGTTGTTGTTGATGTTGTTGTTGCTGTTGTTGTTGTTGTTGTTTCGGGTTGGGGGTGTATCAATATTATTTTAATGTTTCCCTTTAACGTGGAATCTATAGGCGCCTAGGCCTACCATGACATGTTCATTTGGGAAAACAAACTCGACAGTGTCTTGTTAGGGAAGCGTCCGACTCGTCGGAACGACGTCTTGTGAAAAAGTCGCCCTGTGTGCACGCCGCTTAAACCTTAGGCTCAGGTAACCAGTCCTTGCATGTTTGCTCAAACTGGAATTATCCTCCGCGTGTTTCCTGTGCTGGAATCAATGGCTGTACTGGAATATAAGATCATGTTTTTTTTCGTGCAACCTGTCTCGCGAAGCTGTTTATTTACCAGCAGACTTTTGACATTCGAGGAAATCGTTTTGGCAGGTGAACGGTGGGAGATTTCTGGTGTGTGAGTCTTAGTTATTGTTGGGGTAGGTTGAATGATGGGATGGGTCCTTTAATTGTTTGTGTGGGGTG